AGTCTGCGAAGATTCACGCCTCTCAAGAGGGGCTTGTCCAATGAGAAAGACGGAAATTCCAAGTGGGAGGTGGCAATTGAGGGTTTTATGACCCTTTGTCTCTAAGCATGGTATTTTGCATATGAAACTTGGATCAAAATTACTAAAGATTCTTAGAACACTAATATGTTGCATAGGTATAGACATACAATATACACTCTCAATTAGATCATCCGAATACGAATTAATAGAGACCAAAAACGTTATATGTAAGGTTACATGAATGAGTGGTTCTATCATAAGCATGCATAAAATAGTCTACAATACAACAGATAATATACAAGACAGCAATAATATACACAATGACCTGAAGGATATGTGTGTTCATTCAAAGAAAGGTTTTCCTATGAATGAATTAGTAGAAAAGTCCATTTCTACTGTGCACTGTGGATTTCCTATGGAAATTGTAGTGAGAAAGGTGTTTCTCAACATGCCATTAGGTCGTAAATGTATCTGGTGTCAGGGTTGCCATGGTAACCAGGGGGGGCCTGGTGTCGTTGCAGACATCCTGGCATCCAGTTTATTGGGTGAGGGGACTGTGACGATTTGTTAATCTAATGAATAACTGATTTGTTAAATCAAATGAAAAATTGTGTGTTTGATTGGTCCAGACGCTACACATGTTTACTTGTCATATCTTATCAACGTTGCATGCACAAAATAGACACTTGACGCAGTCAAAGCGGTAGCACCGGAGAAGTGATAATTAAAAGTTTCAGTCAATGATTTCGGCCCTCCAAAACCATTTCAGCCAAAACTGAATATTCTTGGTTGGAGAAATTGTGGTGTAAAACTGATGTTGGAAATGTTGGTCCCGGATACACAACTTCTCAAATTATATTAACCAGACACTGAATGAGCATTCTGTAGAGTACCAGCTTTGGTTGGCTGGGTGCTTTAAATCCAGGGAAGTTGATAACACCTGGAGAAAGCTGTCCATTTGTATTTCTTTGCTCGTCATCATCTTTGGGCACATGTTTTTTTGAGCGAATCGCATTGGTGCCAACATAATGGTGTAGTTACAAAATCTACCAGCAGGGACTAGTAAAACATCCAAAGCTTGATCCCATGGTTAACATTAACCACAATGTCACAACAGTATGTCAAATGGAGATTTATAGTATTAACTGTACTACATCACGGCTGGTGTGAATGACTTAAATCTAAGTTCTAACAGTCATTGTGAAAGAAGTCTTAACAAGAAGTGTTAAGATGAAAGATGAAACTAGTAACTCTGAACAGGATCCATTTCAGATTTTTTACTCTGAGTTAATCTTGTGGCAGTTCATTTCCCAGTGACTTTTAACCTCTATGTGATCGTCAGCCTTTAAACAGTGGCAGCACAATTCTTACTGTCACTGTAAATGTACTAGGCCTATAACCACCTGAAATATGTGCTGGAAGTGTAATGTTGTAGACTTTCACACTGTCCCCAGCTGGATGTGATTAGCAGCGGTTCAGAGTCATTAGTTAACTCCGTCTCTCCTTATGTGTCCAGTAATGCCTTTGTAAATTCACTTTGAATGGCTGTGACTGGCTTGGCAGATCACCACTGGAGGTTGGCAGGGCTTTGATGACAGTCAGAGTTTGTCATAAAAGGTCCCAAATGTGAGTTTAAAGGCGTGAGGACCAGACGATTGAGGCCCCAGTGATTTCAAGATGACGGCTTTATACAAAATGGTACAATAGCTGACTTTAGTGGTGGCACATGGGATGCCAATTAGGAGGGTCATTGGAAATGGCAGTCTGGGTTGAGGCAGGGGCATGCCATGGAAACTCCACGCTGGAAGTCTTTCTGAAGTGACGCCAGTCTGCAATAACAGGCTAATTGTGAGTGATGTCAGCCATAAACTGAAGCCATAAATCTACATTTGGACACCCAACCCCCAACCCGTCTGACACAATAACCCAGCTTAAATAAGCAAATCATTAATACTTACTAAAAGGGAGGTTTTAAAAGTCAGCGTATAGTCAAAATTGATTTGTGTCGTACATGTACTTGGCCTTATTTTTAAAGGAACCCACAGATCCTGTCATTATTTACTCACCAAGCTTTCTTTATTGTGCAGAACACGAAAGAAGATATTTGATGAATATTTAGAAGTAAATTATTAGAAGTAAACTATACAACTCCATTCAGGAATGGAATGATCCTGTCAGTTTCTGATGATAAAAATGCTTCCCTACATTTCTGTTACGTTACATTATGGAATTTAAACGGGTTGGCAATACTGTTTCATTCTGATTTTAAGGATTTAGAAAGGAAATATGAAGT